TCTGCCCTTCTATCCCATCTCCCTTCCCCCCTTCTTCGCCATTTTATCTCTTCTCTGCATTTTCGTGTAATTTCTCTTATCGCCAATCTCAGGCTCAAGGCATTTTCGTCAACTTCAAGAATGTGCAGCAGACTGCAAGGACTAAAGTTCCTTTCGGTATCGCTCAGGTTGGAAAAGCTTTTCGGTGAGTTCACAAGCCCTTCACAGAAAGTCTCTAAATGCTTTCTCCTCATGTCTCCTCCTCCCCGTGATCACGTTGTGCTATCAACTGCTTCCTCCTCATCTCTGCTCTTCTCACGTCTGTCTGCAGCAATGAAATCACTCCTCGCAACTTCATCTTCCGCTCGCGCGAGTTCGAGCAGATGGAGATCGAGTATTTCATCCCTCCCGACGATGACGCCTGGCCCACCTTTCACAAGTGAGCACGCGATGCGAGAAAGGAGGAGAAGAGAAAGGGAGGAGGAGCAGGAGGAGCAGGGAGTAGGAGCAGGAAGGGAGCACGAGGAGAAGGGAGGAGGGAGGAGGAGGAGGAGGGAGGAGGAGGAGGAGGAGGAGGAGGAGGAGGAGGAGGAGGGTTCTGACGAGGGTCAGGGAATGGATTGACAACTGCTGGAATTGGCTGCTGTCTATCGGAGTGAAGGAGGAACTGATCGACCTTGACGTTCACGCAAAGGAGAAGCTGGCGCACTATGCTCGTGCATGTACAGGTGAGAGCAGAGCAGAGCAGAGCAGTGCAGAGGGGAATGATGGAAGGAATGGAGAGGGAGGAGAAGGAGGGGAAGGGAGAGCGGAACTGAGAGGAACGGGGCGGAGAGGAGAGGAGGAGCTGAGCTTTCCTCGCAGACATCGCCTTCAAGTTTCCCTTCGGCCGCTCTGAGCTCCTCGGAGTTGCGGCGCGCGGAGACTTCGATCTCAAGGCACATGGCCGAGGGGTCTGGGTGAGAGGAGCTGGGGAGAGAAGCGACCGGGGCTAACGGTGAAGGATGCAGCAAGAAGGTGGAGTACACGTGCGAGGAGACGAAGAGGAAGTACATCCCCCATGTGATCGAACCCTCCATCGGAGTTGACAGGCAAGTCGAGGAACTGACTTGCCTTCCCTCCCCCCGCCCCCCGTATCAGCTCCTCCCCTCCTCTCTCATTCTCCTCCCCCCTCTGCCCTCTCATCTTCCCTCCGTCTTGCCCCTTCCTCCGATTTTCCCTCCTTTCCTTGCTCCTCTCTTCTTCTCGCTCTCCTCCTCTCGCTCTCCCCCTTACACTCTCCTCCTCAGGCTCTTCCTGGCTCTCGTCTGCTCAGCATTCGACGAAGACATCGTGGGAGGAGAGAAGAGGAGCGTTCTTCGATTCCACCCTCCATCGCTCCCATCAAGTGCGCCGTCTTTCCTCTGGTCAAGAACAAACCTGAGATCGTCTCCAAGGCGAGGTGAGATTCGTCAGGCTGTGACATGTTTGTGTTCCCTCATACTCGACACTCCCTGGATCGTCTTGCATTTGTGCTCTCGCTGTTGTGACTGGTACTGAAGTTTTCTCTGCCTCTCCCCTCCTCGCCTTTTCTCCTCCTTGTCTCCTCCTTGTCTCCTCCTTGTCCTCGGCTTCTCCCCTCCGCACTTCTGCTCCTTTCTTTACCTCTTTTCTTCTCCTCCTTTCCCTTGTCTTCTCTTTTCCCCCCTATCCTCCTCCCTGTCTCCTCCTCTCCTCTCTCAACAGAGAAATTTACGAGAAGCTTCAAATGCGCTACAACGTTGTCTACGAAACGTCAGGGGCGATTGGCAGAAGATACAGGAGAATGGATGAGGTGAGCCCAGAAATCTCCCGTGCTCTCCTCTGCTCACCCTCTCTCTCCCCCCCCCTTCCCTCTCCCTTCCCCACTTTCAGCCATTCTCTCCTACTTCTTGTCTCTCTCCCCCCCCCTTCCCTCTCCCTTCTCTCCCCTCCTCTCCTCTCCTTCTCCTGTCCTGTCCCCTCTCATGTTCCCTCTCCTCTCCTCTCCTCTCCTCTCCTCTCCTCTCCTCTCCTCTCCTCTCCTCTCCTCTCCTCTCCTCTCCTCTCCTCTCCTCTCCTCTCCTCTCCTCTCCTCTCCTCTCCTCTCCTCTCCTCTCCTCTCCTCTCCTCTCCTCTCCTCTCCTCTCCTCTCCTCTCCTCTCCTCTCCTCTCCTCTCCTCTCCTCTCCTCTCCACTCTCCTCTCTTCGTCCCCTCACATGTTGACAGGTTGGAACGCCATTCTGCGTCACCGTTGACTTCGACAGCTTGGAGGACGATACCGTCACCATCCGCGAGCGAGACAGCACGGAGCAAGTAGCAGCATGCTCCCCCTCCTTCCTCTCAGTGCCTCTCCTCTTCCAACGAGCATCTCTTCCTCCGTTCTCCCGCCTCCATTTCCTTCGAAGCGCGTTCCTGTCCTCTCCTGCTCGTCCTCCTCCTCCTCCTCCTCCTCCTCCTCCTCCTGTCCCAACTACTAACTTGGCTCTCAGCGTCGCATCAAAATCAATGAGCTGTATGCTTTTCTCTCCAAGGAGGTCGACGGCATCTGAGCAACATGGACATGCCAACAAGATTCTTCTTGTTCACTTTGTTAAAATCTCAACATTGACGACCAACTCTCGACTCGTTTTGTTCTTCAACTCCTCGTCGTTGTCCCGTTGTCGCCTCCTCTTGCTTATTTGTCTCCTCCTCCTCCTCCTTGTTCTCCCCCTCCTCCTCCTTCTCCTCCTCCTTCTCAGCAGCAGTAGCAGCATTACCATGCTCTTTCCCCCCCTCCCTCCCTCCCTCCCTCCCTCCCTCCTTTCCTACATCCCTCCTTTCCTACATCCATCCATTCCCTTGCCATCGTTCTCCAGCATCAAGTGCATGATCCTCATCTTCGTGAAAACTTTAGCAAGACATCCAGACAAACTTCATAAGCTGCGATCGCCACAGCTCCTGCATACTTCTGTCACCACCAAGTTTCCTCCTCAAATCGCTCATCACAGTCCCCCCCCCCTCCCTTCCCCTCCCCTCCTCTTCCCTTCCCTCCCTTCCTTTCTTCCCCTTCCTTCTCCCCCTTTCCATTCCTGCTCACCTCCCAACGCCATGCGCACTGCTTTTGGCGGGAACCCCTTGTAGCAAGCAAGCAAGCCTTCTTGGCGGATGATGTCAGACAGCATCTTGAACGTCTTGGGCCTCTCGACGAAGGAGGAGGAAGAGGGAAGTGGCGCCTGCAGTCAGATGAGGGAGAGGAGCAGCATACACAAGCATGCACACTTGTATCCTGCTCTTGACAGTGTCGAAGGGTGCATCGGCTGCCGTTGCCATGAAGCCAGCGACGAAGCCAAGGAAAAGGTTCTGCATGACCTGCTGGTGCTGGTGCTCAGGTGGGGTGAACTGCTTCTTCATCTCGTGCATGCTGTAGAAGTAGATCGAGTTCCAGATCGAGTTCCGCCATATCGTCGTCTCCAGACCTGTCAAGAGGCCCCTCGCCCCCTGCAGCCTCCATGTCTGCACAGCACAATCCACCGGCCCCGAGAACTTTGCGATGTTCTCGCGCGCTTGCAAACGGATCTTCACCACCTGGAAGGGAGTGGTGGCGATGGCTTCTGGGATCCCGCTCATGCATCCTGCGAGGAAGACGGAGAGCGAAGAGTCTCCCAGCGGAGTCTTCGCGAGCAGGAGCCGAGACATGTCGTATCCCGCGTACATGGCCGAGCTCTTCGGGATCATGCCCACGATCTCTGGAGTTAGCCCGCGATAGAGCCTGGGGACTCCTCCTTCTTTGATCAGGAGGACTGCTGTTCGAAAGGAGTTCTCGTTCTTCACTGTGTTGAGCTGATGCCTCGTTTTGATCTGCAACAAAGGACACGATTCAGCTGGTTCGGCAGGCACGAAAGAGAATTTACGGGCTGCACAGTCAGCATCAGGGATCGCATGCTGTCTCACCATGTCCAGAGGATGTACTGCTACAGCTTCAACGACTCCTGCCCCTGCTCCTGCTGCGAAGAACGCCCAGCTCGCATGCTCCTTCCTGCTCTCCACCATGCTGGCGACACGTGCGAAACTTTTCCCCAAACTTTCCCCGAAACTTCGCACCGGCAAGTTCCCCAGCGCCGCCCGCCGGGAGTCCGGCTGACTCCCTGTCACCGGCCGGGCCGCGCCGTGTCCGGCCGGGCGGTGATCGAACTCGGAACCGCGGGGCGGCTGCAGACTCGGAACTTCGCCTGAGATTTGCACTGTCGCACATCGAACGGCGGCATCATGAAATTACAGACCGTACGGTCACCGGTACGGCGAACGGCCGGGCCGCCGGGCCTCCGAACTCGGTCGCCGGGCCGTTACATTTCTCACAACCGTTACTATTAAAACGAAAGCTCCATAGCTCCGAGCAGGAGCGCGGGCAATGGAAGGAACCTTCGAACGACCGGAGCGACCGACCTACATGTAAAGACGAGTGAAGCGCATGCACATCTGAAGCATCTACCCGATCATCTTGCTCCCGTGTGAATGCTTCCTTTGAACTTTTCTTTAGTGTTTGCCCATACTTGTTTCCGAGACCAACGCGTAGCTGCTTGCCTGTCGCACGCACGTGCGATGTTTTGTGATGTGTACCTTTGAGCAATCTGAGCCCTCTGTTCTCTTTCTCAATCATCATCGATATTGTTTTCTCTCTATTCACAAAATTTGTGCTTTATTGTGCTTTCGTTCATATCGCTTCTCTCCCTTTGGATTGTTATGATTAACCGCCGTGATTCAGGTGCGGAATATGTGGTGAGACAACAGACATCGGTCGTGATGACGCAATTCGTTGTCGTAAATGTGGGCATCGTATTTTGTACAAGACCCGTCTGAAACGTGCTGTACAATATGAAGCAAGATAATGGGTTTCAAGCACCAAACTAACCGAAATGGGCATTTGGAATAGAAGCGAAACGGGGAATTGTTGCAATTTATGCTTTGGCACATGAGCTTGGGGATCAATTTTGTTCTTGCATGTAATGATAAGATTAGGTAACTTGAAGAAAATCTCTATGCAAACAATTGCATGCTCGACGTTTAAGACATCTGGGGCTTGAATCCGTGTTTGCGGGAATCATTTTTCTCTGAGTTTTATCATAAAAGACTTTATACACCTTAGTTGTCAGTTGTACCCTACGTGCAGCTCTCTTCCTTCAGAATTTACAAGATATTCATGAGGCAGGCTCAAGCTTCACCAGCCTGTACTGTTCAGCCCTCCTCGGCACCCTCGCCCTCAACTTTCTCACCTTGATCGTCCTGAAGACTTTGAAGTTTTGATTCTATGATGTTGAGCTTGACAGCCGTGTCTTGAATCGCAGATTTTATGTTCTGTATGTCCGCAAGAGTCGCATCCATCTCTTGAACTTCCTTCTGTATACTGCAAAGTCTTGACGTCCGACCCTCGGCGCTGTCTGCTCCGCTGCTACTGGAAGCTGTGAGCGCGGAAAACTCTGGAATGGGTTCGATCTTCACTCCAGCTTCGACAGTTTGCGGCGCCGAGGTCTCAACCCGTGTCATGTCTGAGCTGCCGTCGGAGATACTGAGCTCCGCTAGCTTCGTGAGCGGGTGGTCATGGTCCCACTTGAAGGCCTCGGTCTGCTCGACCTGAACCGCCTCGGCTTCTCTCTGCCTCATGATCTCTTGGAGGATCATGGCAACTGGATGGCCCAATCTCATCCAGCTCAACGAGCTGCAGACGAGGAAGAAGAGAACAATCACAAAGGCTGCAATCCGAGCATCAGACCATTCGTTGCTGGCTGAGTAGTGCTGCTTCGATGCTGATGGAGACAAACTTGAAGAGTTTGATGCCGATGCGACCATGGCCGCTGCAACGGCCGCGCTCATGATCCGAAGCAGAATCTCTGTAGCAATGCCGAACAAACTCGAACGAGAGTAGATGAAGGAGCGATCAGATGTCGGTGAGAGAGACTTCACAAGAACAAGAGGGGAGGAAAAGGTGTCAGGAAAGACACGTAGCTTGTCATCTCAGCTTCTCATTCAGCTACTCTGCACGAGTACATGTCTCGACGCGCTTCCTCTATTGATGAGCTTTGCAAGTGTGGTTGGTTGCGAGCTCGCCACCCAATCTCGACTTGGATCAAACTAGGCTCTTTGAACTTAATGAATCATTTATGAAATCTCGCAGCTTTGGCCTCTACCTTCATGGCCAAATTGGGATAATCAGACCCTGCATAGTTTGATGATCCGATCAATAGGTCCGGCCCGGGCTGTCCTGGTCGTAACCTCCCGGAGTCCGAGCCTAGGGCCTGCGTCAGTGAGCCCGGCCTGCCCGGGCCGGCCAGGTCACCGTGGCGTCAAGCCCGGCCCTCACTGAATCACACAGTGAAGCTAGGTCAAAAATCAGTACGAGGGCGGTGACTGACTCAGTGATCAGGAGAGTCACTTAGAGGAGGCTTTACCCTTGACACTGTCGCACAGGCCATACGGCGAGAAGAGAAAAGACAGTGAGAACCAACCCTCATCCTGCCGACTGCTGTCCCCAAACCTAACTGATACCTTCACTTAACTGCGCACAGGACCATTCGCGTTCACCCGCAAGTTTCACTGCCTGTGGCGGCACACTTGGCGGCGGCTGCTCAATGCCATCGGACTGAGGACCGTATCACCCCGGTATCGGATATCGGACACCCTGATGGTCTTTATTAATCTTGAATAGTACTAGTACTTCTGATCAGTGCAACTTCAATCACGCATTGGCCTCGGACGCCGGACTCGCGGCAAGCCTGAGGCTTGCAACCTCACGAATCAACGGCCGGATCACCGTCAGCATGTCAGGGGATACTTGCAACACGGCATACGAGTCTGGAAGCCTGAGGTGACTTAACATGAAGGCGAAAATCCATTGAAGAATCCAGAGGAGAATGAAGCCAAACAAAATAAGCAAGCTAGCACCAACCTCGGCGTGACCCTGAATCCCAAAGCATTCGTTCCCTGTCTTGCCAGCACAGAAATTCGTTGCGCTTGAACCAACTGCTTTCTCGATCAAATCGTCATATTTCTGCATGACCACGACAGTTGCGAGCAAGAGAACTTCGATGGAGCTGTATGAGAATGTCATGGAGATTCCGCGGTAGAGCCCCTTTCTCATCTTCATGGAAACTCTGAAACAAAGGAAGTAGATGAACGACACGCCAGTCAAGAATGCACTTCCAAGTGGCAAGGCGATCCCCAGGATGTAATAGAATGTGACCAGGAATCGCGCACCAGACGGTTCTGCATGCTTGTACATCACGATAGCAGAAAGCGAATGTTCCCCTAGGTTGAACAGAGTCAAATTCCGGTAGTCAGCGTTGTAATCCCCGGTTGCAGCCAAACCTACCGTCCGAAAGGAAATGATCGGCAAGGCCATTCCAGCAATCAATAATCCCAGTGAAGCACAAGTGATCAGGAACACGATGATTACCCCAATGTTTGAAACCTCGTAAAATTTCTCTTGGCATTTCACGATCAAGCTGCAAATGTCCTTTTGGATGAGGAGAGAATCCAAGACTTTCTTTGTATTCAGATCTGTGTTGTCCTCGCTCTTCTGGTTATGAAGGTACATCATCCAGTTCTCGAGGGAAAGTTGTAGAAGTGAGGATATGAGAAAGGAATAAATAGATCCTCTCGTTTCGGTTTTGATCAGCACAGGTTGTCCCGCGACGGAGGTGTAAATGTTGACACCCGCCATGATCACTATGACAGCATACACGTCCACCAGGGTGAGTTTACTTGCTCGAACGAGAAACTTCAAAGCGATGTAGCGAAATCGATTTGCAAGCGGGGCAAACCACAATGTCAGCATGATTATGATCTTCAGATATGGCCACGCTCCGGAGAAGATCACAATGATGGCTGCAATACCCCTTGCTCCTGAGTTGTATGCGTCTTTCACGCTCGGGCCGAATCCAATGTCGTAAGCAGGATACAAGGTTGAAATGCTGGAGAGTGGCGGAGGCGCCTCTTGCTTTGGTGGCTGCCGAGTGCAAGCAGAAAGATTGACGGCGCCCATCCCAAGACATGCCTCAAGTGTTGGGGCACATTTCAGATTCACACAGTCAACGCATTCGCATCCTTTTTGATTTGATATGCATGTGGAGCATCCTGACAAGGTGCATTGAGGAGTAACACTGAAACAAGAAGCACAGGCTGAACTGTATCCATAAGTTTTCACCATGCAAGTTTTGATGCAAGTCGGATCTGTGCCGAAACAATCAGTGCCACATTTCAACAAAGCAGTGTTGTAAAGTGTTCTGTTTGCAGTGCTGTTTCCATGCCAAATCAAAAGGTCCTGGGCCGTGCACTGATCCAAGGGTGTTCCTGATACTGGAGTTGGAGTTGAAGATGGCGCAGCTGTTGTTCCTGGAGCTCCTGCCAAGTTGAAACTAGTGAAGATGACACCAGACACCCCAATGTGAGCATATAGAATCAGGCCCAAGTTTGCAAGGATCAGACCCACGAGCAGGGAGGTATGTGACAGGCTATACTCCTTCCACAACGCCCCAACTTGTACATGATTTCGTTCTTCAACAGTGGGGTTTTCCATGGTGTCAGTGGGGTTTTGAATGGCATCAGTTGGGCACACTTTCGCTTCTGCCTTGGCAATGTACATAACCTTCTCTGTTGGTATCTGCTCCATCGTTTGGGCTTCTGACAAGTTGTGCATCATGACGTTGTCTGAATTCTGGGTCTTCTCCGCTTCCATCGCCGCCATCGCAGCGTCATCCGCTACGTTGCCGCCGTCTTCCTCCATGTCGGGCGCAAGAAGTCACCAGTCGGGAGTGTTAACTCCTTAAAGTTCGGCTGTTATATTTTTCGGACATAAATTGTTGGTAATGTTTCAAAACTTGTTCAAATAACGAGAATCAATACTATAACCGGTTCAAATTCACAGTGGGTTATTTATCGACATTGACGTAACAAGAAGTTTGCCCATGTTATACATAACGACTTTATAATGTGATAAATTATATATAAGCAGGTTGGGGGACCTGCATGCCGTTGGGGGAAATGTCATGAAGATGGCTAGCAAACGAGCGACAATGAATACACCTGCCTCCCTCCTTCCTGCCCTCCTCACTGCCCTGCTCTTTATCGCCCTCCCATCTCTCGTTTCTTCAGTCGACAACCCAATTTGCGTCTCCTACAAGTTCAAGGCAAAAGCAGGTGATTTTCTTGTTAGCGTTTTTTTTTCTTTTGCAAACAAGTTACCTTTCTTGCTTTCGAACATTCTGATTGGTGGTCTAAGTTTTTTTCTCTTGTACATGGCAGGAGCATGTAGCATCGAAACAACGATGTCAAGTTGCACATTCTTGTCAAAGCAGGCCTCAATGATGACGAACTTGACTAACATCGGCAACAAAGTTGCTGCCATGACATCAGATCCCTCGTGCCGTTCTTTCATCGATAAGATAGTCTGCAAGAAGCGCTTCGGCAACGCAAGTCAGGTGCACAAGGATATTTGGGCGAGATCTGCTTGCTCAACTTACAGCTCTCAACCAGGCAAAGCTCGGAATCACATGTGCCTCGCTCTGTTCATACTGGACTTTTAACCAGATGTTCGACATGAACATGCTGTCAGAGCTCGCACCTGGACAAGAGATCATACCCTGTAACCAGGATAGCGACTGCACCTATACAAACGGCCGTCTTACATCGAGCTATGCGGTGCTCCCGATCTGTTGCAGCTACATGCGCGTGTCGCTTTCAGACCTATGCGAAGTGAGCACAACACAGGTCGACAACGTCATGAACAATTTGAACACAAACAAGATTTGCGCTTACAGCTACTGCATTGCTGAAGGGAACAATCTCAGAGCATCATTTCTCATGGTCCTCCTCACCCTCATACCCATGTTGTACACCGTGAAGTGTATGTCGCAGTGAGAGTTGTTAATGAGTGTGAGTTGAAGCAGAGGTTGTAATCATCAATAAATCCGATGTCTATGTGCTATATATCATGGCATTACTCTCATTCTTGCAGCTCATTGCGATTCTCGACTCAAGACTTTCTGGGCATGTATAAGGGATGTAGAAGGCATCTACAAGGCATGTATAAGGCATCTAGAAGGCATCTAGATGAAGGCATCTATAAGGCATCTATAAGGCAAAGAAGGCATCTATAAGGCATGTATAAGGCATTTACAAGGCATCTAGAAGGCATCTAGATGAAGGCATCTATAAGGCATCTATAAGGCATAGAAGGCATCTATAAGGCATGTATAAGGCATTTACAAGGCATCTAGAAGGCATCTAGATGAAGGCATCTATAAGGCATGTATAAGGCATCTATGACAGGAGGCATCTCAGAAAGAGGCATCTAGTGACAGTGAGGCATCGAGAACTGAAGGCAACTACAAGGCATGTATAAGGCATGTATAAGGCATCTATCTAGACACAAGGCATCTATAAGGCATCTATAAGGCATGTATAAGGCATGTATAAGGCATAAGGCATCTATAAGGCATGTATAAGGCATGTATAAGGCATGTATAAGGCATCTATAAGGCATGTATAAGGCATCTATAAGGCACAAGGCATGTATAAGGCATCTATAAGGCATCTATAAGGCATTGGAGTGGCGCCTCCTATTGGCGGGAAAGTAGAAAGTTTTCGGAAGAGGGAGGAGGGAGGGAGGGAGGGAGGGAGGGAGGGAGGGAGGGAGGGAGGGCGGACGGGAGGGAGGGAAGAGAAGATGAACGAGTGAGGATGATGATGAGATCTCTGATCGTTGCCTGAATGGTTGAAAAAACACTTGATTCCTCGACGAGAAGACTTGATTCTTGAATTACCAACAATCTGAGCCTTCTGATTCTGACGGTTTACTGACTGTAGGCATGGAGCCTCTCCATCAGGACTCGGATCGTAGCACCGATCATGTCCTCCTCCCTCTAATTGCACCATACATCTCCGGAAAGCACTTGGCCCTCCTGGCAGGCGTCTGCAAAGGGTTTGTACGGTTTTGCAAGTGATGCTTGTTCTGATGTCGATACGCAAGATGGAGGAACTTTCTCAACGACAGTGCCCAGAGCGGAAGTATCTGGCAGTAAGTTGTCATGGGTGATATCAAAGTGTTTGTGAGATCAAAGCAGGGCCGCATACAATCGCGACATCCGACCATACGAGGGATACTACGCCACTGTTCTTCCAGAGGGAAGACGCAAGTAAGGGAAACGAGCTTTCTTATCATTAGTTTGACCTTTTCCTCAGCGACGCCCGCCTCAAATATTTATGGTACCTGAGGAGAAACCTGCTGATCGAACCCTCTTGGAAAAAGGTGAATGAATTGGTATCCATCACGTTTGAAGATGTCTTATTCCAATGAAGGTCGTCGATATTGGAGGAGAACAAGTTCTTGGAAGGTTAGTCTCCATGGCTGATCGAAACATGCGCTAATCTGCCTCAAGGTTCGGGACTTCATCAGCTTCCTTCATGTACAAGGGGCAGAGTGCAGCGCTCATGTTCAGGTCAGCCGTCAATAGTTCCGAGGAGGCTCTTAGAGTTTGACGGAAGTGCAGTGGTTGGACGACAGAGGATTTCGTTCAATCAGACCTGTACATGATGGTCCGACAATCCGAGACCAAGAACGTAGCTTCCTGTGAATGTTCTTTCATCCTTGTCACCCTTGATGTCTGCAGAACAAGACCACACACGGGCTGAAGTGGCTGAGCATCCATCCTGCCGGCATGCCGCCACTCCCAGCCTTTGCCACATCCATCACTCCCTTCGAGCACCCGGGGCTCGGTTGATCTGTCTCAGCCTTCCTCGCCCTCTCTGAAACTTGACGCTCCAGGGACTGTATTCCTCCTTTTTGGCGGGGTTGGTTGCTTTGGAATGCCAAAACCCTGCAATCAATTCAACCTTTTGCTTCTCGACCAAAACAACGGTGAATAATTCACTTTCGAAAGGTTCTCCCTATAACATTCTCATGCTCAGACAACGACTCATCAGAGGACGGGCCCATGATGGAGTGATGTCGAGCTGTTCTAATTTCTCCTTGACTGATCAATCGGTACAGGTGGGTGCATCCCAACTTGACCTCGGCCTTCCAAGAAAAGGGCACTCCAAGAGCCTTTCACTCTGCCACCTACTTCCCCAACAAGAAGACAGGGGCACCACGAGTGCTGATGTTCGGAGGACTTTCTGACGGAGTTCCTCTCAACACCCTGGAGAGCGTCGAGCTCAAGCTCGCAGCCTCATCCTCTTCCAATCCCGGCGACTACCCGCACACTTGGCACTGGAAACAAGTCTCCACCTTGGGCACTCCTCCCATTCCTCGCTACGGACATTCAGCGACTCTGTGCGGGCTTGACAAGACCAAACTTGTCATCATCGGGGGTTGTCACTGTCACAATCTGCATGATTACAACTCAGTCGGTAGAGAGCTACAGGACGTTCACATCCTCGACTTGTCTAAAAGCATTCCAACGTGGTCGGAGCTTGACATGCGAGGTTTCATCCCGATGTACTCCCTTGGCCGCCTGCACAATGCCGTGCAGGTCGGGCCGCAGATCTTGTGCTTCGGAGGAGGGCCGACATCGAAACTTACCAACGATGTTGTTGCCGTGAACATCTACGACCAGACGTGGAAGCAGATCGAGATGGAAGGACAGGAGCCTTGTCCTCGTCAAGAATCCTTCATGGCGCCGATTGAAGCAGGATCGGAGATGGTGATGTTCGGTGGGCGGAACAAGAAGACGCTGGGGGATTGCTACATCTTGCGACTGGGAGGATTCAAGACTAGGGAATATGCATTCAGTGGCTGTAACTTGAAGCCCGGATACGACGAGGCCGAGGATCAGCGCAGGGAGGAGAGGAGAATGAAGATGGAAAGAGAGAGGAAGGAGCGAGAGAAGAAGGAGAAGCTGAGGATCGAGAAGGAGAAAGAGAGGGAGATGCGAGAGAAGGAGCTCAGGGAGAAGGAGCAGCTGAAGCTGAAGCTGAAGGAGAAGTTGAAGAGCAAGACGAACAAGAAAAAGAAGGGAGGCGCAAAGTTGGGGGAAGAGCTGCTAGCGGCGGTGCTCCCTGGGGCAGCGGCGACGTCATCAGCTAATCTCGATGAAGACCCTGAAGCCGCTTATCGAAGGATGATGAACTCGATCCTCATCCGATCTGTCATGGGCCAGGTCAGCTTTTCTTCCTCTACCTCCTTCTCCTCCCTGCTCCTGCTCCTGCTCCTGCTCCTGCTCCTGCTCCTGCTCCTGCTCCTGCTCCTGCACTTCCCACACCTCCCCCCCGCTCTCTTTCCCTCCTCCTCCTTGTCAATCCTGATGGCACTGCAGTACCAGAATGGTTCTGCCCATTCTGGAGGAGGCTGCAGCTGTAGCAAATGCCAACAGCCGAACATGCCGGAGATGATCAAAGCTCTCGATGCTGAAGAGGAGGAGGAGAAACCCCTTCACCTTGGGGTCAAGTCGTACGGTAGATACCCCTCCCTTTCGAGGAGAATCTACGAGGCAATCCGGCAAGGATGAGAAGACAGGAGGACTCAAGTTGTTGGCGCTGCCATGAAGGATCGATCCTGGCGATTTCTCAGAGCTGTTAGCATGTTAGATGAGACATCCTGTCATTTATTCTTGTGATTCATAGTGAAACGAGGAGATGGAAATATACTAAGACTTTTCTCAAGTCCTGCCTGCTACTTGTAGCTCATACTCAATCTTCCCCCTCCATGGTGATCTATCTTGAGGATTTCCCCTTTCTCCTCCACTCCTTGCCTCCTCCACTCCTTTTCTCCTTCACTCCTTTCTCGTCCACTCCCTGCCTCTCTCCTCCCGGTCGCTCCTCCTCCCTCCTCCCTCCCTTTCCTTCCAGACCCACCTTCCCTCTCCATCTCCTCCTACTCCCTCACCTTCCCTCTCCCCCCTCCCATCTCCTCCCCTCCCCTCATCCTTCCCCCGCCCTCCCTCCCTCCTTCCCTCCAAACTTGCAATTAAGGCCTTAAAAAAGGGCGTCCAGGACCGGTAGCAACGGGAGGATATGAAGGGAGGAGGAAGCAGGGGAGGGGGAGATGAAGTCGAGAGGAACTAGAGGAGGTGGAGGGAGAGGATGATTCGGATGGAGGGGCAGAGGAGCGACCGATGCAGCAGAGAGTTCAGGGACCATCGAGCTTGTTTCTCTCGCAAGACCTCCATGGGAAGAGGAGGAAGGTACGTACCGCTGGATGATAGCAGCTGTGAAGAGCCTCGGCAACGACCGCAAGCTCGACCCGTCGGAGCTCTGTTTCGTAGCAGTCGAGGATCCAAGAAAGGTAGGAGGAGGAGGAGGAGGAGGAGGAGGATAGAGGAGGAGGATAAGGAGGAGGAGGAGGAGGAGGAGGAGGAGAGAGGAGGAGGAGAAAGATGGAGAAGCAGGAGCAGGAGCAGGAGCAGGAGCAGGAGCAGGAGCAGGAGCAGGAGCAGGAGGAAACCGCGAGGGTTGAATCTCATGCCTGCCGGTCAGGTGGGCTGGACGATAGCGGAGAGCTGCCTTGCTCTGCTTCGGATTCGTTGGAATTGTCAAAAATTATCCTTGAAAGCACAGGGGGAAAGTGCAACAAGAGCTTGGAGGAAGAGGGACGTTCGTCGCAGAGTCGCAGGGTTGGTGGGAGGTGCCAGTAGCAGGATGGGATGGTTGTGCTCCTGACGATGAGCAGGCTGGGAAGTTTCGAGGGGTGGAGGGAGCATGGAGAGGAAGACAAGAAGGAGACGGAGTGCAATGATCTTTACAAGCTGATCAAGTCGATGAACCAAGTGAGAGAGGAGAGGAGAGGAGAGGAGAGGAGAGGAGAGGAGAGGAGAGGAGAGGAGAGGAGAGGAGAGGAGAGGAGAGGAGAGGAGAGGAGAGGAGAGGAGGGTTGCGTGTGACGTATGTTTTCGTGCAGAAGAACAAGACTTTGATGAATGTGACTGAGGAACTGCTCATCGAGAAGAAGAGGTTGGAAAGTGCTGCAAGGATCTTGCGGCAGCAGCTGGAGGAGAAGGACAGACTGGTGATGGAGTTGCAGATTGAGGTGAGGGAGGAGGAAGAGCGAGAAGGAGGAGCGAGGAGGAGGACGAGGAGGAAGGAGGAGGACAGAGAAGGAAGAGGAGAGAGAAGGAGGAGGAGAGAGGAGGAGGAGCGAGGAGGAGGAGCGAGGAGGAGGAGCGAGGAGGAGAAGAGAGGAGGAGAAGAGAGGAGGAGGAGAGGAGGAGGAGGAGAGGAGAAGGAGGATATGTGATTTCGAATGATCGCAGAACAGCGATATGAGGATGCGTGCGGAGGTCCTATCCCAGGAGAACCAGCAGCTGAAAGAGAGGCTGAAGTTGAAGCAGATGAGCAGATGAGGGGAGGAGAAGGGGGAGGAGGGAGGGAGGGAGTAGATGGGCGGGGGCATGGAGGAGGAGGATATCCCATGGGAGAGCAGCCAACATCGTCGTCACAGTGACAGGATTTGTAAAGACACAACAACATCTACAAGAACAACATCTCAAGTCTCCTCATCCTCGACTTCTGTCAGTCTCAAGGGCATCGCACAGCTGCAGGACGAAGAATGTCGTACAGCCATGGCATCTGCCCCCGCAAGACCCGTCGCAGCACCTTCCCTTCCACCTGCCCGCCTCCTCTCGTCATCAGCCCCACTGATCCGTGCAAGCCCTCCTGTACCACTCGCTCAGACCACCGCAGGCTCTGCAATTATGTTAGGGCCCGAGGAGGAGGAAGTAGGAGGGAGAAGGGGGAAGGAGGAGCGGAGGAACGAGGAGGAGGAGGAGGAGGAAGGGGGAGGGAGGGATCGAGGAGTGGGGGAACGAGGAGGAGGAGGAGGAGGAGGAAGGGGGAGGAGGGAAGGGGTGTGAGAGAGGAGGGAAGAGCAAGTGAGAGGAATCGAGAGGCACTTACAGGATGAGAGGAGGACATGAGCTTCAGTCGGCGGGAAGGAGGAATCCTCCCTTCCTGTCTCCCTCCTTGCGTTCCTCCGTGCTGCTCAGCGACGGGTCCCGGGCTCGGGCTCCTCCTTGGGGCAAGAAGCCGACTCCTTAGCAGGGGGGCAGGGATACTTCCTCCTCCTGCTATCAGGCCGACCCGCCGAGGAAGAGGGAGAGGGAGAGGGAGAGGGAGAGCGAGCGGGGGGGGACCAGCCTGCTGCTGCTGCTGCTGCTGCTGCTGCTGCTGCTGCTGCTGCTGCTGCTGCTGCTGCTGCTGCTGCTGCTGTCGGAGCCTTGTAGGAGGGTGGTCACTTTCTCCTCTCCCATCCAGGGTATCTCGCTGTATCTCCGCACGAGCATGAGAAGGTTCAGTCCTCCTCATGCCCCTGCTGGCATCTTGCTCGGCGTCCGCGCGTCTTCCTCCCCCTCCCCCTCCCCTCCCCCCTCCTGCTCCTCCTGCTCCTCCTGCTCCTCCTGCTCCTCCTGCTCCGGTCTCGCTGACAGGGTCCAACGATGGCAGGTGGAACCGAGGAGGAAGCTTGCTCTTGCTCGCCGCCCACTCCGTCACCCTCTCGTAGCTGCTCGACTGACTCCCGCGGGCCCACAGAGCTTCTCCGACATGCAGGGCAGGAGGTAGAGCATGCAACCGCTCTGGCTCCGTCGTTCCTTTAGCTCGCAACCACCTGCTACAGAATCCGCTGGAAGTGCTCTGCTCCTCCTCCTCCTCCCGTCCTCCTCCTCCCGTCCTCGCCTCATCAGCTCCCCTCCTCGCATCAACAAACTCATACAGGCCACTGTAGCCGAAGGACTTCCCTCCCCACGAGAACATCTCTCCGCTCCTTGTCAGCGCGACGACATGGCCGAGCGCAGAGGAGACGGAGAGGACGAAACGACCGAACAGCGCCTCATCGACCTGCTCGAACCTAGAGGACAGCCTTGCCTGCTCTCCCCTCCCCAGCTGACCCTCGAACCCTGCCCCGCTCGTGTGCACGGCCCCTGCCTCCGTCACTACCGTCAGGCTCCTCCCTCCTGCTGAAACATCCTTCACTCGCAGCCCACAGAGCGACTCGACCTGATGAACTTGTAAGTCGTCGACTCCGCATCCTCTGCTTCCCCCTTCTCACTCTCCTCCTCCCATCTCGTTGCCCACCCTCCCCTCCTCTGTCCTCCTCCTTTCCCTCCTCCTACCAGGTGAGGAGTCAGCCTCCCCCGATCATCGCCGTGTCCTAGTTGACCGAACCGTCCTTCTCCCCACGTCCATAAGAATCCTTCCTCATCAATGGCGGCGGAGAAGCCCGTGCTATCGAAAGCATCAGCAGAGCAGAGCGAGGGGAGCAGGAGAGAATGATAGATCGGGAAATCGAGATTTGAAAAGAGAGCACAGGACGGAGTGAGGAAGGGAGGGAAGGTGGAGAGGAGAAGAAGGTTGAAGAGGTCGGAGATTGGAATGGGAAAAGAGGGGAACCGAAAGGGGATAGAGAAGGGGACAAGAGAAGGAGAAGGCGAGTGGAGGTGTGTGCGTAGATAGAGTTGGGTAAGGAGGGAGAGAGGAAAGTGAAGGAGAAAGGAGAAGGGGAAGGGTACAGTTTTGTTTCTTCTCACCTGCTCAACGAGTTTGCTGATGAGAGAACGTCCGCTGACCCACAGCTCAGCTTCTTGACGTGCGGAATGAGATTTGTCCTTCCTCCTCCTCCTCCTCCTCCTCTCTCTGCCACTCCTCCCTCTCTCTCTTCTCCTCCTTCAACAGTCTCCTCATCCTCATCAAGTACGTCTAGGAAACTCGTCCTCTTCCACACGGTCACTCTCTCCGGGTACATGCTCCCCTCACGGTCCCCGAGCCCGAGCTGCCCGTCCCATCCGCACCCGCACATGTACAAGGACCCATCCTCTGACACAAAACCGCTGAAGCTACCGGCTGCTGCTACCCCGATGATGTTCTTCCTCCTCAGCGCCGTGACCTCCACCGGCAACATCTGCCTCGATCGTGAACCTGTTCCTAGCTGCCCGAACTTTCCCAGCCCCCACGCCATCACCACGTTCTCCCTTGTCACGAGCACACAGTGCGCTCCTCCTGCCGCTACTTCCAGCACTGGCGTCCCGGCAAGAGCAGGAACAGGACGAGGAGTGAAGCACGCCGCGAGGTGGCCGAGCCCGAGGCAGCCATGTGCTCCGTCACCCCACACGAAGACTTCTCCTGCACAGGAGACGCCGACACAGAAACCAGCATGGAGGACAGCGAGGTTTACCCCCCGGGGAGTGAAATGCAGGTGGTTTGAGCTCAGAGCTCCTGAAAACACGTCCGGGTTCATGGCTGGGTCGCACTTGCCGCTGTTCAGGGCGCTCCTCGCCATCCCACCGCACGCCACCTGCTGCTCGTCAGCCTCCTCGAACTGCTCTCGCACAAGATCCTCACCGTCTTCATCTTCGGCAGTCCCAACACCCGATGGGGGAACACCCGACCTCTCCTATCGCCATGCCCGAGCCGCCCGTCCCACCCGTCTGACCCGAAGCTCCAGACCTCTCCTTCGCTCGTCACCAGGACTGTATGTCCCGTCTGAGACTTTCCCGTGCTGTAAACACGTCAGCATGAGAGGCTCGTAGACCACAGAAGCGCCAATGGCGGGATCAGACCTCACGCTGACGAACTTCTTCGCTTCCAACGGTTCCGAGTAGCTCTCGATGACCGGGAGGAACTCTTGCCATGTCTCGTTGGGCAGCAGCTTCACGTGATTCATGAGGTCGTACCGCGGAGAATGTTCTTGGCGCGATTGAGATGCGGTGAGTGAAGAAACTATGTTCTCCACCCGCATCTTCACTGCTGGCTCTATGAACGTCGAGCGACAGAAAGCTTTGCACGTGCACTTGAATGCAACAATGCTCTTAGACTCCAGCAGAGCAAGGATGCTCAGAGCTATATCCTCCCATGCAAACAGATTGTGAAAAGAAGGAGCGTCAGTTGTCAGTATTGTCATGATCGGAGACTGGTTGAAATCAGTTCTTGAGGGCAAGTAGGTAAATCCTCAGTCGTTCTCAAGCAGCAGAATGAATCTCATCCCTCAAACACAAACAACTGGTCAATCCAAACTTTGAAAACGCTGCAGACTCAAAATCTTTTTGAGTGTTGAGTTGCCAGGGATCCTGAAGCAACGCATTCGTCAGAGCCATCGCAGGATCACACTTCTTTTCCCTTCCCTTTCTCCTCTTCCATGGAAATCCTCTTCCATTCTTCATAGTTTCCTTTGTTCTCGTAACTATTTCACATGGCGGCGCTTTCTCCCTTCTCTTGCGTCCATTCCTCGCCATGCTACCCCTCTGCAGCTACACAGAATAACCGCCATGTCGTCCCCCACCCTACCCCACCCCACTCGGCTAAAGCAACACCCACCTACCCTTTTCTAGTGGCTTTCGGGTAAGAAGACCCCTTCCTGCTATAAGCTACTACCCCTAACACTTACTACCCCAATTTCCTTTGACCACCCCATTGTCAAATCCTACCGGTTCATTTCCCACGAAGATCATGGGAATCACAAGGGTGATTGGGGAATGGTCAAAGGGGCTCGACCAGGGTGGGGTGATACCCCGGGAGGCTCATAACCCTTCAGCGATTGCATTGCCCGGTGGCCGGCCCGGACTTGTGAGGGCGCTAGTGCAGTGGGTCGAAGTGGGGATGTGGACCACATTGGGGAAGGGGTATAGATCTGGTTGCAGCATGGGGTGGGGTGATCAAAGGGGGGTGGTAAAGGAAGGACGAAGAAGGGGTGATATCGGTATCGATGTGATAGTAGTAGTCTCCACATAGGGGGGTAGGGTGCAGAGTGTGGGTGGGTCAAGTTTTGTGTCCACAGTGGGTGGGGTGATCATAATAGTTCTGCTCACTCAAGGGGGTACCCTTGGGTAGGCCTTGCACCCGTGGTTCAATCGAATTTACAAGGGTGGATAATCAACAGGGTGGGGTGGTAGGGTGGTATAGGGCCTAGCTCGAGGTGAGGGGTGAGGAATGAGGGGTGGGGGGGTCCTCTAAAACGAATCAAAGCGGTGCGATGGCAGGAGAGGATGGAGGGAATCAGGAGTAGCGCAGATGCAGGGGAGGAGAAGACAAGGAAGATGCGCAGAGTACAAGATGGTGAAGAGAACGAGTGAGAAGATGCGAGAAACTAGGTGGCAATGCTTGGAGATCACTTCAAGAAGGGGCAGAGAATGCAACGATACGAAATTGTTTCAGGTCAGCGGAGAGCAAATATGAAAAACTAGAAAAACATTCGAGAAGGAAGAAGCATAAGGGAAGATAAATGTTAAAAGTGAAGAACAAGAGATGTTTGAGATGAATGATTGTATTCAGGGAAGGTGAGAGGGTGACAAGAAGCATCTGCCAAAAGTTGCATAGTGAAAATTTAATGGATCTCAGACAAGAATTTTGGGGATTCTGGAGTTTTGCAATGCTCTGACAGGGTCTATCTGAAACTAACATACTGCAGGCTCATTGAAGGAGAATAGCTTATACGCGAAAATGAGTCAGTTCGAATATATTTTCAAGTACATCATCATTGGTGCACTTAGCAAGTTTTTGTGATCGGCTATCTGAATTCTGTCTTTCAGGGGATATGGGAGTTGGGAAATCCTGCCTTTTGCAGCAATTCACTGAAAAACGCTTTCCTGAAGACCAGGTCTAGAAAAAATCTTGACTCATTGTACGTGAATCACGATGCTCCTGCAGCCCCACACGATTGGAATCGAATTTGGAACTCGAGTGTGTGAAGTGAACGGGAAGGTGCTTAGACTATGCTTGTTTGGACTTCAGTCTTATGCGTACCAACCTGCAGGTTATCAAACTGCAGATATGGGACACGGCGGGACAAGAGCGATTCCGTGCTGTGACAAGGAGGTAAATTTTCCTTCCAAGGCACCTAGTGCTCTAACGGGCTGTTGGTTCACAGTTACTATCGCGGAGCTGCTGGTGCGATCATGGTCTACGATATAACGACAAGAAGTTCATTCAATCATTTAGCCACCTGGCTCACCGACGCTCGCAACCATACGAACCCTAGGTGAACAGCCATGGTTTCTTCTAGCTCGCTCAATTTGTATTTCCAGCACGGTGATGATGCTCATTGGAAACAAGCTTGACATGGCCAAGCAGCGCGAGGTAAGCATCAAAGGCTGTTACAGGTTCCCGACAGAAACACTGATGCTCACTACAGGTTTCGTTCGAAGAGGCAGACGCTTTTGCCAAGGTAAGGTGCAACTTTGCGAGCTGAATCGTCTCACCATCCAACGAAAGGACAATGGTCTCATCTACCTGGAGGCATCTGCCAAGACTGGACAGGTCCATCCTTGACCTTGTCTGTTTCCTATTTAACACGCTATCTTAGAATGTCGAAGAAGCATTCCTCAGAACTGCTCGAAAGATTTACGAAAACATTCAAAGTATCCCTTCTTTTTGCATATCTTCTCATGGTTTTGACCATGATTTCTTCTTCACAGGTGGAGCCCTTGATCTCAACGCTGCAGAATCTGGTATCTCGCTCGTTTCTGATGTTCCCAGCAGAGAGCTGATGTATGAGCAGGCGTGGTATCCAACCGCACAAGGAGCAATAGGATCAAAGCTGGACAAACACCCACTAACGCTTCGTCATGCTCCTGTTGATCTCGTCTCATTCAACTCCATCTTACAAAATCGATGTACATTTAAATCTTGCCTAAGATTACGCTGCGTGGCCCCGGCGAATCACATTCGTCATGATGGCATGATGGCATGAGGGCAAGGGCGGCCGTCCAGCCGCAAGTCACAGACGAATATAGTCAGCGCAACATGGCCATGCAGGCTCGGTCTGGCAATGCCGGGCCGTGACCCTGGCGGCTTCAGTGCGGTATGGACAATGGCTGTGATCCGATGATGCTACCGGCACTCAGCAGGCTTGCGGTATCACTGACTCGAATGGCCCGCCGAGTCAATCGGCATGGCCCAGTGGCTTGCGGCGAGGTCCTACTGACTCACACACACACCTTCAGCGGCACTACAGGGTCCGGGCCCGGGCCAACTGTTGAACTTCGGAACTCGGAAAAACTTAAAATATACTGTCACCGGGCGCCCCGATTCTCAACTAAGTACCCTACCTACCAATCAGCCTTCATCCTTTGCTCTTTCTGGGACCGGTACTAGACCCTTCTTGCTTCCTAGCTAAGGGGGAATCGCTGCTCTAGTCCGAGGCTGATCGCACTGCACCTGTTCCACCCTCCCCTCCCCATCGCCCCTGCTCCTCCTGCTCCTCCTGCTCCTCCTGCTCCTCCTGCTCCTCCTGCTCCTCCTGCTCCTCCTGCTCCTCCTGCTCCTCCTGCTCCTCCTGATCCTCTGCCTCTACAGTTGCATATCCTTCCCGCTCTTAGAAGTCCTTTGCTGCATTTTCTCATTGCACTTGGTTCAACCCTTCTCGTCACATCTTGAATTACACACGCACCTGTCTCTTCCTTCCCGACGTCACTCTCCTTCAATTTTCTTTATTAGCTTCGCCTGAAACATTGATTAATCAGCATGTCTCAAAATCCTTCAAACACCTCCACTCCTTCACGACCATCGAAAGCAAACTCAAACGAAAACACCAGGTGAAACAAAGGCAGATTGAATGTGTTGACTCGAGCGATACCTGCTGTTGTGTACAACCTTGAATGTTGGAGCATGAAGATGTTATAGCTGTGCACAAGGTGTTTGAAGTGAAATCTTCTGTTTGCGGCAGGGCGGCAAATGCAACATCCAAGAAAGAAACTCTCGGTGAGTGCATGGGCTGTGCGGAGGTTGTGCCGAGAGACGGAAAGGCCATCGTCTGCATGCAGAGCCATGCCATCTGTCAGTCCTGCAGCGGAACTTACATCAACAACATCCTCGAGAACCCAGAGTACAACCTCCCTCCCAAGTGCCCCATCTGCTCTCTGGAGCTGAACGTGAAGGTTTCTCCACATGTCGCTCCCTCAGCGCGTCCTGACCTTACCCACTTGCAGACAATCGAGAGGTGCCTCAACCCTTCTCAGCTCGAGAGGTTCGAGAACCTGATGCTCGTCTACGTTTTCGCAACCACCCTGACGACCGAGGATGAGAAGCTGTTTCGCTGCCCCTTCTGCCCGTACTTCGAGATTCGCGCCATGTCGGATGGAGCCATGTTCATGCGCTGCCAGGCCGTGAACTGCATGAAGGCTTCCTGCACCACCTGCAAGCTGGAAGTCCCCCAGCTGGATGCGAACTACCAGCATCGTCGGCAGTCAGCAAGGAAGCTGGGAGAGATCGAAAAGCACTACGCGTGTGCTCAGATGAGTGTTCAGAAGCACAAGGTGGAGAGGGCGCTGGAGATGGGGCTCAACGTGCCCTGCCCGTCCTGCGGCATCTCCGGCATGAAGGACGACAACTGCACGCACATGCGCTGCCTCAACTGCAACGAGTTCTGGTGCTACTTCTGCGGCAAGAGAGAGCAGGACCTCAACAAGAGCAGCACCAGCCATGGCATCTGGGCGCACAACGTTGGCTGGCCCAACAGGCTGGGAGAGAGATGCCCCATGTACCTGAGCCAGCTCCACGAGACCCACGACTGGCCCACGGACGAGGATGCTTGCCTTGCGATGTACCACAGGATCAGGACTGCGTCCTTCTTGAAGCAGGTGATGGACGAGCTGGGCAGCGAAGCTTGCGAGCAACTTGACGAGCAGTTCTCCATTTTTAAGGCGAGCGGGTTCTCTTTCCAGGAGATTCAGGAGCTTTCGTCGAACAGGTTGAGTTCAATCTTGACACATGGATCCAAGGTCGAATGAAAGACAACAGTGAGGCAGCTAGGAAATGGAGTCGTGGCTGTGTACGAGTGTGGGGATGTGTTCACAATCGACATGACAGTCTCGGTGTGCGCTTCATGAGCAACTCCATCTTACGAATTCTGCATCTTGCTCATTAACTTGCAAATACAGCAAAAGGCGAGGATCCATCCATGGGCCTCTCCTGCCTCCTTGACCTGATCGCATTCCCCGCCCCTTCATTGTCATCCCTTTCCCTTCCAGATCCCTCAAGTTCCCTTCACCCTCCCTCCCTCCCTCCGCCCTTCATCTCTTCCTATCCTTATATTCCCTTCCTGCTCCCTGTGCTTCGAAAGCTTTCCTTTCCTGCTTGTCATCAGTCAGCAGCTCTTCTGGGGTGGGTATGTGAGCAGGCGTATCGACATGGTAGGGGTATCTTGTAAATAGAAGGGGTACTTTCGTCGTCCTTTTGATATAGAAGGTAGGGTAGTCATTTTTGTGTTTGAGGTGGGGTGGACAAAGACCTCGTGGAACCAGGGTGGGGGTAGGGATCAGATCGTGTATATAAAAGGGAGGGGGTCAGCAGTAGTCACCACCGAGAGGAGAGGACAAGAGACGATCACAAGCAGAGAGAACGAGGAACAGAGTGCTGAGATCATGTCGGTTGAAGAGATCACAAAGTTGGAGACATTGAAACGTAAGGAAGCAGGAGAAGAAACACACTTGTAGATGCGTACAAGGAAAATTAGCTCTTGACAGTCCCGAGAGTTCTAAGGATTCGAAAACAGCAAGACAAGTAGGAGCGATGGAAGTGAGTTAACCCGACCTTTAAAACTGAGGATGTTTGAACAGCAGACTCTATGAACTTTCTTGACATATGAAACTGATCTTCTTCCTGTTGCAGAAGAAGCTGAAAGACCCCATCGAGAGAATCGTGAACCCTTGAATTCGCATTTGCGAAGTATCTACAGAACCATGGTTGCCGCACCGCAACTCAAAGCGATCTTGTTTCTTACTTTGGTGTCCTCCTTGCGCGCATATCAATTCATCAGTATGCCTGCAGGATGCGGAAAACTCTCAGGCAGGATTTCAATGGGAGCTAACGCCAGGACACGCTCCGTCCCTCCGAGCGTGCTGTCGCTCAAATCATCGGGCGAGGAAAAGGAAATTTCGGACCTTCGCCTATCTAGCAGCCATCAACATCAAACCAAAACCCCGCTCTTCACCAGAAAATCTGTTCTTGCAACCCTGCCACTTGCTGCTGCTGCTGCTCTGCAGCCAGCGGAGCGAGCCTCTGCATCCTCGCTGCTGGACGAGGGAGGACTGGCTTACGGTAGGTGGTGGGTTTTTCCCCTTGCTCCCTACAGCAGGAAGAAGACGGTGAGGACAGAAGTTGTGAAGGATGAGGTGTGGGCGTTCGATCAGATTATCGGAGCTCTTTATGTGTGGACGCCGTTGAGGATGACGGTGGTGAAGCTGCAGAAGGGAGGGCTGCTGGTCTTCAACCCTGTACCTCCGACTGAAGAATGTCTGAAGCTCGTGAGAGAGCTAGAGGGGGAGCATGGCAATGTTCGGTTTGTTGTGCTGGGTTCCACGGCGCTGGAGCACAAGTCGGCTGCTGGTCCTTTCAAGCGACACTTTCCTTCCGCGGAGCTGTGGGTTGTGCCGGATCAGTACTCCTTCCCGTTCGGGCTTGAGAACGTTGGATTGTTGGGGTGAGGAGGAGGAGAGGGGCAAATTTGTGGAGGAAGTGAAAGGACGAAGGAAGGAGAAGAGGAGATGATAGTAAAAGGATCAGGGTGGCAGAGATGGGAGGAAGGGAAGGAGGAGAGGAGGAGCGTGGCGTTGGTTGACACATTCGGGAAGGTACACCCAGCTGTTCTGGGGTCTCAACCCTCAACCGCTCCCGCTGAGCAGCGACGGAGATGTCCCATGGAAGGACGACCTAGAGCATGTCGTCCTTGGCCCCTTCAAGTCTCGTGGAGGAGAAGCTCCGGGCGTGTTTGAGGATGTGGCCTTCTTCCACAAGGTCAGGAAGAGGAGCGGACGTGCGGCCTTGCGGTCTGTTGGTGATTTTGACGTGCTTGTTGTAGAAGTCCAAGACCCTCCTGGTCACCGACGTCGTGCAGACTTTCCCCTCCAAGATCCCCGATATCATCCTTGACGATCCCCGCGCGCTCCTCTTCCATGCTCGCGATGATGGTTGAGGCGCTTGAGAGTTCGTCTCCTGTCGCTGATGGTTGGACCAGCCTTTGGGAAGGTGCAGGACACGCCGGAAGTGCGACAGAGAGGATGGGAGAGGATAGCGCTCTTCTCCCTCTTCTTCCAACCTGGTTGCCTTCATGTTGTGGGAGGAGGAGGAGGTCTGATGTGCCATGGCAGGAGGAGTGGAAGTTGTTCCCTGGGGACAGGCGTTCAAAGACCTTCAGAAGGTGAGGAGAGGAAGGATGAGGAGAGAAGGGAGGGAGACACGGGTGGAAGACAAGGGAGGAGACAAGGAAAGGGGAGAGGAGGAGAGGGTGAGATGAGGGTTGGGTGTATGAGGAATGGATGAAAGTGGACATGATGAAGGAAGGAGTGGAGGCTGCGGGAGCGAGGAGCGTTGAAGGAAAGATGCAGAGGAAGAGGATGGGATGGGAGGGCTTAACTATCTAACTTGTATCAGGGACAAATGAACGAACTCGGTTGGAATGGACTGTTTCCCTTCACTTGGCGGCCGCAGGACGGCCCCCACCCCCAGGTCTTCCTCCTCCGTCTTCCCGTGCCCAATCGCCAATTTTCTCCTTTCCTTTTCCTCTTCCTTCTCTTCTTGTTTGACTCTCTTTCTCCCCCATCCCCTTCTTCTATCCTTTGCTCTTTCAACTTCTTCACTTCTTCTGTCCTTTCTACTCCGCGCTGACTGCTCCTGCCAGGGAAAGTTTTACTGGCGAGAGTCTGTCGAAGCACTCAAGGACAAATGCTTTGTAATCCTCCTCCTCCTCCTCCTCTTCCTCCTCCTCCTCCTCTTCCTCCTCCTCCTCCTCCTCCTCCTCCTCCTCCTCCTCCTCCTCAAACCCATGATCACCAACACATCATTAGAGTCGTTCCCCCCTCGATGTCCTTCAACTCTTTCTCACAGCTCTTCCTCCTCAGGTTCCTGCAGTCTTGCAGAAATTGATTCTTGACCGCGAACCTGCTAAGGTGACAATTTCCTCTTCCCCCCCCCACTCCTGCTCCTCCTGCTCCTGCTCCTGCTCCTGCTCCTGCTCCTCCTGCTCCTCCTGCTCCTCCTCCTCTCGTCCCCTTGCTGACGGACTCATACTTTCAGGTCCTAGCCTTCGCCGACAGAGTGGTCGCTTCCAGCTCCTATCCAGCACACCTCAGCTTTGACTAGCTTGACAGGCCCAGTGGAACTTCGAGAGGATCGTCCCTTGCCACCTCGGGTCCGAGATCAAGGTTTGCGGCCTCTTCCTGCTGGCCAGCAGCTCAGCTTCACTCAGGCGGGCCCTGCCGAGTTTCGCGCTGCCTTTGGCTTCCTCGAGGATGGAGGAGATTTCCCGGGGAACCTCGAGGTCTCAACTTCATGACCTCTCCTCCTCCTCCTCCTCCTCCTCCTCATCATCATCATCATCATCATCATCATCATCCTCATCATGCTCCGTGTTATCTTCTTCTTCTTTGTCCTCACCTGCACCTCATTCCTCCTAGATTCGACTTTCTTCCCTGCCATCTCAGTCACTCATCCTCCTCTCTCAGACGCGACCCCTTTGTGGCGATGCTCAATTCCTGGAAGACATCAGCATGAGCCTTCAAGATCTCGGTACTCTCTTGTTCTCTTCCTCCTTTCTGCCCTTTCGTCCTCCTCTCCTCTCCTCTCCTCTCCTCTCCTCTCCTCTCCTCTCCTCTCCTCTCCTCTCCTCTCCTCTCCTCTCCTCTCCTCTCCTCTCCTCTCCTTCTCCTCCCTCTCTCTCGTCCTCCCCTTCTCTTCCCTCCTCCACCTCCCTCCCTTTTCACTATCGTCAATTGACCGTCGCCTCAGGAACGATTGCTGCTCCAGACAAAAACGTGGCGGAAGTGAGGAGGAAGAGGAAAGAGCGCTCGGGTGTCTCGCAGGGGGAGCGGGGCCCAGGGGACGGATGGGGTCCGTTCCGCAACTGAAGCGAGCGACGGCAACGAGAGGAGAGCAGAGGAGGAAGATGGGGGAGAGAGGAAGAGAAAGGAGCAAGGAGAAGGGAATCAACACAAATACTCTGATGCAAATCTCCTTCATGCTCGACTTTACACCAATATAACCTGACCTCAACATCTCCAGCACCCCCTCCACCTCTTTCACAAGGAGAGGAGCAGCGGCGGGAGGGGAATCGCTCTCAACTTCTTTCCTCGATCACCTCGAAGTGGGAGATGAAGGCTCCTTCGGGCATCGTCACATCCTCGGGCGGAGAAGTAGGAAGGATTATGGGAGGATTAGCGTCGCCAACAGTCAGCTCCGTTCCGTCCAACGACATGGACATGCTAATCTTGTTCGCCCAGAGCCATGATGAGGAGAGGAGCGCTTCGGTGGGCAGGTGCTCCATCACGAAGAACTTCTCCTCCTTGCTCCTCCACTCTCCAACGGTGACGGGCATCTTCACCATCTCAGTCAGGACCATCTCACCGCCCATAGGTTGCAGTATGCGCAGAAAGCAGCTCTGCACTGGCAGCTGCAGCCGCTGTACCACTTCCCTCTTGATGAGGCAACGAGCCGCTGCTGAGGCCACAAGCGCATGAACGAGGAGGGGAGAATCGTTCCTGAACTTCAGCGGGAGGAACGTCAACATCCGTCGAGCTCCCTGTGCTGACCCTGGAGGAGCAGGAGGAGGCCCTGAGCCGCCCCCACCCCTTGCGTCCCTCCCGTCCCTTCCTTCTCTCCGTGCTCTCTCGTTGCCTCCTTCACCTGCCCTTGCTCCTGCTCTCTGCCCAGGTCCTGCTCCTGCTCCCAGTCCTGCTCGCAGTCCTGCTGCTGCTCCCACACTTGGTCCTGCTCCTGACCCGGCTCCTCTGTTCGCCTGCCGCACAGGGCACTTCTTGGTGTGACGTCCTTCCCCGCCGCAGAGGATGCATTTGGCTGGTTCTTCAGCACCAGCACCAGCTAGAGCTGCCTCGTCGATCTTCTTCCTCATGTTGTTGTTCTTCCTCTGCCCGCCGCTGTTCCTGCATGAGAAACATGCTTGCAGCTTGTTGAGGTCGACGCTTCCCTTGATCAGACTCACCGCCTGCTTCATCAGCTCCTGCCAGTTCGCGTTGGTGCTCTGCTTCCAGTCCATGAGGGATTGCTTCATCGCGCTATCCCGGAGACCTTCCAGGAAACTTTGAATCATTTTCTCCTCGTCGAAGTCCACGGCCCTCATGACACTAGAGACTTGAGCATCAACATACATCGCCTGGGAGCGAAGGACGTACGAGACGGCACTCTCATTGTCACTCTGCTTCTCTTTGTTCCCAGAGGAATCAGGACGGTAGACGGAGCAATTTATTATCATCAGCAGATGCTGGAATTCCTTCCAGCTCATCTTCTTGAGCTCATCGGAGCTGATTAGAAGCGACAGATCTTGTTGAGTTCGCATGTCTAGCAGGTTGTAAGCAGTAAGAACATACTCGTCTCTCTTCAAGTTGTTCACTTCGAAGTGGAACTGCAACATTCGCAGCCATAGGGCCATCGTGTTGCTGCCTGCATACTCCTCACGGCAAATATCTCCAAAGTTTAATCGGTTTGATACTGAGAGAACTTCTTTCACTGTCCGGGACATCCTGCATGCAGCAGTCAGACTCATTTTTGGCCCCGCACACCCTTGTCCTTGTCATTTTCATCCTCAGATTCCTGCATCCTCTCTGTTTCTTCTTTGTTCCCCTCTCTTCTCCCTTAGCCTCCATCCTCCTTCCTCCCCTTTCCCCCCCTCCCCTCTGCTCTCCTCCTGCTCTGCTCTCCTCCTGCTCTGGCTCTGGCTCTGGCTCTGGCTCTGGCTCTGCTCTGCTCTGCTCTGCTCTGCTCTGCTCTGCTCTGCTCTGCTCTGCTCTGCTCCTCTTCCTCTTCCTCCGTCGATTTCTTCGTAGCTGGGTCGCTTCGTCGTTACAGGAATTCTCAGAAGCAGAAATCCGGTGAAAATAAGTTAAATCTTGCAGGACCTTTGCTTAACACGGGTGGGTACTAAAAGAAGCAGAAGGACGGGGTAGTCAGTGGTTATTCCCGCCAAATCGCCCTTCGCATGCTGAAAGGCGTCCGAGGAGGAGCAGGAGGAGCAGGAGCAGGAGGAGCAGGAGGAGCAGGAAGAGGAGCAGGAGCAGGAGAAGGATAAGAAGGAAGACGAGGAGAAGGAGGAATGAGGTTGAGAAGGCTGGGGGATGGAGATATGAGGCATCTTGGTGTACTACAGGACAAAGATGTGATAAGCAAGGAACGTAGAGTAAGTTCAAAAGAAGTGATACTGTAAGAATGACAGCCAAGGTTTGATATTTGTTGGATGTGACGGGTGATTGAGGGACGATAGGAGCAGCAATGAGTTTTGTATGACATGATGCTAGGGTCTGAAGCATTGATTTCTTACTTGAAGTGATAGGAAAGAAATGGATGTTTGACATTGTTGCTTGTCTTTGTTGGTCGACTGAATTGTTTGCTAATGAAATCACTAACTATTTTCATGAAAGGAGTTTGTTTGTATGGAATAAGCCATGGACAATCCTTTGACACGACCTGGAGCTCTGCCTCCATCGAAATGGTCGATGGAAAACGACGAGGCGAACACCGCTCTCAATCGGAAACCAATGTCCGTTCTTTCAAACCACAAGTCTGCACCAAATTCCCTCCATCCTCTCGAGCGGTCGCCTGCAATCAGTCAAGCTCTGTCATCAAACAACGAGTTGGGTTCAAAGGTTGCAAGTGGTAAGTCAGAGCAGTCTGCACCTGCTCGCTCGGATGACAAACCTGCTCCTTCCGCTGCCGAGGATAAAGCTTACAATTGGATTTTGTCGAGGGTTGAGAATCGAAAACCTCACAAGCCTGAGCTTGCTCCTGCATTGAAGCCTGAGCTTGCTCCTGCATTGAAGCCTGAGCTTGCTCCTGCATTGAAGCCTGAGCTTGCTCCTGCATTGAAGCCTGCTGCTGCTCCCTCAAACCCTCAGCGCCAGACTGAGAAGGTGAATATTTCGATGGTTCAGAAACCAAATACCGAAAAAGTCCTGGCTGCCTCCGGCTCTGTAAGGACAGTTCCGTCTCATTTACAGGTGAAACCATTCAATCGGGAAGCTTTTATTGTTGGGGATCAGAAAAACTTGATGCACCTGCCTTCGCCTTCATCGAATCGGCCTGTAGCAGCCAATTCAGAAGAAAAAGCTTACAACGTATGGGGGAATTCGAGATTAGAAAGTTTGAAACCAGAAAAATTTCCAGGTGCCTCTTCGATAGATCAGCCTCTTTCATCATATGCTGGATTGAATTCCTACAATCGTGACCTTATGGGTTTTGAAAATCGCCAACCAAATGCTTTTTCTAACCCTCAATACCAAATGATGTACTCAAGTATGTTTAGGGCTGCTATCCCGCCATACAACAATGCAGGAGCAAGCGAAGGGAATTCATTGATGTACTCTCCGCAGGCGTATACATTTGGTATGGTCAACCAAAATATTCCAGCGACATTTCCTCACAACACGGTAAAGCAAATTTGTGAGAGCTGCTGGAAGACTGGAGGGCGACACACCAAGCAGTGTCCACATCGAAACGGTTATGAAGATCCTGCTCTCAAGCAGATGCGTATTGAAACAGAAGAGATGGTATTGGATGAGCAATTTGGAGCTGCATACAATGAGAAAGAGGGAAAGACATTCACAGGTAACATCTCACTTGGTCTTTGATGTGATAAAGTTTGTTGATCCTGAATCCAGAGTATGCACCTCCGAGATTGAAAGAGATAAGCAGCTTGGTTTGCCATCCTGATCCCATCACGGAGACTTCAACATTGAGTTCAATCATTCCTCCCAAATGGAGCATCAAGCTCAGATTGCCGGAGGCTACCATCAAGGAAGGGCGCCTGACAAATTTGCAGCTGGAATCTGTGATCTATGCATGTGAGCAACACGAGCGGATGATCCCTGGAACCCAGTATCGCTCTGGCTTCTTCATGGGCGACGGGCCGGGTAAACAATGCACCACTTGTAAAACTTCGCAGATTGACAGGTTAACAGGTGTGGGTAAAGGGCGTCAAATCGCAGGAATCATACTGGAAAACTTCATTCGAGGTCGAAAGAGGGCAATATGGATTTCAATCAGCTCAGATCTCATTGATGATGCAAAGAGAGACATCTGCGACATCGGTGGAGGAGCAATTCCCATTCATGACCTGAGAGACTACGGCAACAATAAGGACCTGAATAGCTTCGAGGAGCTCAATCAGGGCGTCATCTTCTGCACCTACTCATTGTTGGTCAGAAACGGAGCAGGAGGGGGGAAGGATCAGAGCCGGCTGACACAGATTGTCAAGTGGGCTGGGGAGGACTTCGATGGAGTTCTTGCCTTTGATGAGGCACATAAGGCCAAAAACATCAGGATTCCGAAAAAGGGACGACACAAACTGAGCCAAGCATTGAGGACTAATGGAACCAAGTCAGCTACTGCAGTCATTGAGATTCAGCAGCAGCTACCGTTGGCAAGAGTTGTGTATGTCTCCGCTACCGGTGCGAGTGAACCAGAGCATTTGCTCTATGCCTCAAGACTAGGTTTGTGGGGCCCTGGAACCTCGTTTGATACCCCAGACACCTTTGTGAGAGAGATTCGTTCTGGAGGGACGGGAGCGATGGAACTGCTTGCGATGGAGTTGAAACAGTTAGGACAATACCTAGCAAGATCCCTGTCTTTCAAAGGTGCTGAGTTTGAGGTTGTGGAAGAAGAAATTGATCAAGAATTCATGCTGAAGTACGACAAAGCGGTGGAGCTATGGTCAGATATCATATCACATTTCTCCGGATTCTGTAAGAAAGGCATAGAGAATCTCACTAGAAAGGAAATCAACCAATTGCGGTCCCAACTTTGGGGTGCTAACCAAAGATTTTGGGGCCAAATCTGTATGGCTGCTAAGGTGAAAGGTGTTGTCAGAATAGCAAACGAAGCAATCCAACAAGGAAAGTGCGTCGTGATTGGTTTGCAGGTATAGTTTTCATATCATTTTTGTGACAAGTTTTGATGTTGCTGGTTTTCCAGAATACAGGCGAGTCAGTAGCAACTGAGGAAGAATCCGGATGTTCAGCAGCATGCAACCTCCTTAAAAATTTCATAGAAAAGTTCGGAGTGAAAGTGATGACGACAGAGGAGAAAGAACAGATTCTTGAAAGAATTGATGCTTTGCAGCTGCCGATAAATCCATTGGATGAAATCATTGACTTGCTCGGGGGCCCCAAACGTGTTGCAGAGATGACTGGTCGATCCGTGAGACAAGTCTGCGTCCGAGGCGAATGGACGCTTGTGAAACGCATCAAATCAGACTCTTCGGGCGATGCGATCAACATTCGCGAAAGGAAGAAGTTCATGTCGGGGAAAAAACTGGTCGCGATCATCTCAGAGGCTGCATCGACTGGCATCAGCCTGCATGCCGATAGGCGTGTCAAGAACACACGGAGACGCGTTCACATCACTCTCCAGCTACCTTGGAGTGCAGACAGAGCTGTGCAGCAAATGGGCCGTTCCCATAGATCCAACCAGTCCAGCGCCCCAGAGTTCAAGTTAATCATGACTCCCATCGGTGGTGAATGGAGGTTCGCAAGTGCGGTAGCTGAGAGACTTCAGCAACTGGGTGCGATGACTCAAGGGGACAGAAGAGCGACAGGAGGAAGCGGTCTGACCAACTTCGCCATCGATCCACGGTATGGTCCGGAGGCTCTTGAGAAAGTCTTCAACTGCCTATCAGACGGGTCGCTCCCTCCCTTTGCTGAAGACGCGGTTAATGAATTGGAGTTTCTGGAGACTGAATATGAGAACGATTTCGAAAAATTTGCAACAGTTGCGATGACAGCGCTGCAAAAAGCCGGAATGTTTGGGCACGGGGATTCAGAAACATTTCCCACCGTCAATGTATTCCTGAACAGATTGTTTGGAGTGAAATTGTGCCTGCAAGGGCAAATTTTCTCTTTCTGGCATGTGCTTATGGAGATCCTCATTCGTGATGCCAAAATGCGTGGGGAATATCAGGATGGAATAACAGACATTGCCTCCGAGCTGAAGCTGAAAGATGAAGAAATCCTTCACCAGAATCCAGCAACCAATGCTCACACAAGCCTGCTGACCCTTTGGGGAGACAGGGGAGTGTCATGGGAAGAAGCTAAAGAGTTTCTAGACAGCCAGAATGATGAGGTGGCTGGTTTTTACAAGAAGAAGGACCCTCAAAATGATGCTTTCTACAATATCATTCTTGCACTTGCAAAGAAGCAGGAGGTGCATGGTAAGAGACGGAGGATCTATCATACCACTCTACCGCACGCAGGTCATAGGCCAGAGGAAGTTTCAAATTTCAAGCTTCGGAATGATTACGACAAGCTGGACCTAGAAGAAGCAGAAAAAATTTGGAAGGAGATTTATGAGTACTCAAAGGATCATTGCGGGCACAGTGCAAGATCATCAAGCTGTAAAGGCAAAGATGTTTGTGTTTACAAGAAAAGAATGTATGTGTATAACATTCTTACTGGATCAGTATTTCCTTTTTGGGAGGAAATCAAAAAATCTGTTGCGATCAAGAATCCTCGCGACGATGAATTTAGTGTGAAGGTCAGTGACTCGGAACTTTCTAACGCCGTTCTGAAAATCATGATCAGGTTGTGCGAGTAGCGACGACTTGCGGTCGCAAGATTGTTGGAATTCACGTCCCTCATCGGAAGAAAGAGTACCTGAAGAAGAGACTCAAGGATTGTGAGTGACAGCCATCTTGCATGTCTCAATTCTGAATTTTTATCTATCAGGTGTGTCGAAGATGAATTTACCAAAAGTGTTGGACTCAAAGACGAATTCATCATCTACGACAGAAAAAGCGTTGGAATCAAAGGGAGAACTGTCTTCACAAGCAGTTTTCAGCGATTTATCAACTACGACAGGACAGGTTTGCGAATCAAAGCCAGAACCGTCCTCTGTTCAAGAAACGGAAAATGGGAAGGAAATTGTCAAAGATAATGCCACTGCAGTGAACGACAACGAACCAGTTGGCATGGATGTTGGCGATGTAACTGAAGATGAAAAGTCGGAAAACGATTCTGACATGAAATCAGAAAGTGACAAAGTCGCTAACAAGCAGGGCAAAACCCAAAGTTCAAGGAAGAAGTTTCTGCTTTCGAAGGCGAGCACTGCTGAGAATGACAGTGATGATGATGAGCCCATCGCAATGTCTGCCAACAAGGAATCAAACAATGTTGGGCAAGCTCCTCAGGGAGACGATCTGCATGAGTCAGGATTGTGGGAGCACGATGAATATGCAAAGGATTTCTTTGAGAAAGGCTTGACATTTGCTGATGACTATCAAAAAGCAAACTATTCCTTGAGCAAGGCCAAGGAAAGGAAGGTAATCAAATCAACTTCTTCCAACTCAGCAAGGAGGCCGCGCACACGAACTACACGAACACCTCGACGCAAGGCTATGAGCTCCTTCGCCACAGATTCAGAGGACAATGCTGGCGATGTAACTGAATCAGAAAAGTCCGGAGGTGATGAAACCGAAGACGACGAAGTACAAGAGACAAAAGCAAGAAAGCCCAGGACAAGAAGGATTTACATTCCCTCAGAGAAGGACGACAAGCCAAAAGCCAAGAGGAATAGGCAGCCTGCGTCTGCCCTTATGGTGGACAAAGCCTTGAAGTTGGACTCCAGCGCGAGGAAGCTGCGAGTGGATAACGATGCCAAAGACCGATTGAAGCTCATCTGTTATCAATTCATGGGAGGCTTGCTGGGTCGGCCTGAACTGAGTTGTACTTTCTCGGAAACATCCATCAAGAAGGTAGCAAACCTGTCAAAGAGTTTCCCTCGTGTACTGACTCTTTGGCAAGGCCATCCGTAAATGGATTCCACAAGAGCCAAGAAGTAGTGTAGGTGAAGTTCTGAGGTAATTTTAAATGACCCATTCATTCCCGAGATCTGAAGCAGAGCGTCAGAGGCTCGGAACTTCCAAGCACTGCAGTATCTGTTCCGAAAGAAACGATGAAGCGTCAGATCAAGGAGCTCCATCCGTCATGTGCGGGAGGAAGCCTTAAGAGTTTGAGCAACAACGGTATCCGACGTCTGGAGGCGATGTTGGGCTATTTCACTCAGGTTCTGAATGCGATGATTTTAAATCGAATGATCTTGCTCCTACAGAATTTGATCGAAAAAGTTGTGGGGATATCCTTGTCGAGAGGGAAAGAGTTGATATCTGCAGTCGATCTGGATCAGATCTTGGAGAGTGTAAGGGATGCTGCAATCAGATTCCTTCTCCGTCTTGAGCCCTTGCCGGAGGAGGAGATCAACTCAGCGAATCCCGATACGTTGCCCACTGACGAACATCCCAAGGTTGGTGCAGACGAGAACTTGTTGCATGATAGCTCGAAAGGTTCCGAGTCGGAAACCATCATGCCTGAGAATTCATCTGATGCACAAGAATCGAATGCTGCAGAAAAGAACTCTCAACTAGTGGTCGCGAAAGAAACAGAGAGGACGGATGATGAAGATGTCGCCGTTGAGGAACAGCAACAGTCTGTGGACGCAACGGCAAGACCTCGGCAAGAGGACAACATCGGAGAAATCACAGCAGAGGGACTGAAGCCTGATTCAAGTCCCCAGCAGCCGGATGAAAAGATGAGTGATTCAGGGGAAGCAGGAGCAACTGAGAGTGAAGGTGGAGAGCGAACAGATTCAGAGACTGAGTTGGACGACGACGACAAGGAAGAAGTTGAGCACGAGAATCAAGATGCTGCATTTGCAACAGGTGGCAGATTGAGTTGTCTGCATGCGCTGAAATGCTTTACAGATTCCGAGGCCGAAGAGACCCATCACGTTGCCAAGGCACAAATGTGCACACAGGGATGTAAGAAAGAGAGGAAATGGGACAGCCGAAGCTTTATGATCTGCTGTGACACGTGCAACGTGTGGTTCCATGGAGAATGTATCGGAGTCAAACATGGGAACGTGACAGATGACGATAACTGGGTCTGTTCGGCAGATTGTGCTGATGATCTGCCGTTGAAGGACAGGCGAGGAAATCTGATCATTGGTTCCCAAAAACCAAGAAGGCGCAAGACAGCGAGCTCTGGATCATCGGAAAGCAAGCCGAAGAAGGAGAGAGCCAAGTCCTCCAAGAAAGATGGGTGTACCTTGTCGAGAGGCTTGAGGGCTTTATCCGAAGAATCTCTCGATCTTGGAAATTTAGTGGGAAAAGATATCATGTACTTTTGGAATGACTCGTCGAAATGGTTCCAATGCAGGATCAAAGATGTTATGGAAAACAGAGGAGATGCTGTTGTTGCGGTAGTGGCTTTTCGGAGCAAAGACACCAAGGGATCGCTGACGGGAGAGAAAGAGCTCGTCCTGAACAAGGGCGAATACGGTAACTCGTCGAAGAAGAGATGGTTCCTCCTAGAGACCAAGGGCCACCATCATGAAGCTCCTGGTGCTTCAACGAACGAAATCCACTGCAAGCGGTCGTGCAAGCTTGGCAGATCTGTGGTAGACGTCTTCATGGTATTCTGCGAGGCGTGTGAGGTTTGGTTCCACGGACCTTGTGTTGGTTTGGAAGAGGGCGACATCAAAGATGAGAATGCGATATGGGTGTGCTGTCAGAGCTGCAAGTTCGATCTTCCACAAGAAGTTCGGTCTGAGGCCCTCGTTGGGTCGTCGTTCAAGAGTGCAAGCAAGGATGAGCCAGAAAGGAAAGTGAAAATGCCCAAGTTAAAGAGGAGCCTCCTTTCTCGAGCTACAACCTCGGTCAGAAACAAACCTGTCGTGAGCGATTCAGATGATGATGTGCCGATCTTGCAACGCCTCCAACAGAACGATGATGCTCCCGTCCAACCCGCCAAAGTTGAGACACAAGAAAGCACGCTAGAGCAGTCGACGACCTCTCAGCAGGAGCCTGCTGAAGACTTGCTGTACCTGAGCAGACCCTTGGCAGAATTTGTTGGCAGAGATCGAATGGCTCGCAAAGAGGCCATGGCCTTTGTGCTGGATTACATCAAGTTGCACGATCTCTTTGACCCTGATGATGATGGCTACATCCTCCCCGACGATAAGATCAGGGCGATGATCGGTGGAAAGGAAAGGATGAAACTCCCCAAGCTCGCCCGCAAGGTTTCTAGGATGATCGCGAACAGCCTGGAAGAAGCTCAACAGCAGAGCAACTCCAAGAGGTCCCGGGAGGATGTTGACGAGAATGCCGAGGCTAACAAGCGACCAAAGAGCAGCGCATCGCAGGATGTTCAAACGAGCCTTGAGCAGGATGACAACGAGTGCCTCGTTGAATCTGAGGGCAGGGAGACACAAGGATGTGAAGATGAAGGGAGGAACACACAAGAGGCTCCAGCTGGAGACGAGACAGCACCTTCCTCCCTCACAGGGTCACATGAATCCACCAATCTCCCTCCCCAAGGGGAAAACGAAGCAAGCGCTCCCTCTGAAGACGATGAGAGTGCGACCTCGATCGCGAAGAAGCATCCGAGAAGAGCTAAACTTGTTCTCGATGACACTGACGATGAGGATGAAACAAACCTTGAAGACAGCCCCGCCAGCAGTTCTCCCGATCACAAGGAAAGTGAGTTACTTTGTACAGTGACACAGCCACAGCATCCTACCTCACAGCCAACCACTCAAGACAGCGTTGATGGCAATGCGGAGACAGACAGCGAGCAAGAGGAACATGAGGAGATCCTCGAGTTGGCAGAAGAGAGCGATATCGAACAGACTGTGGACAACACCGTCAGCAACGCTACAGATGCTGGGCCCTTCGATACTGATGATGAGGATGAATCCATACCTGCGGACACCTTGAACTCGTCCAGCAGCTCTCAGGCAGAAACAGCAACACAAACTGAAGCAGCCAAGCTGTCTACCTCCCTCCTTCCTCCAAAGCTTTCAACGCACTCGTCACGTGATGAGGAGAAGAGCGTCTCTGCGAACGTTGAGGAGAGCGAGCAGGCACAAGAAGCGACTGTCGCCCTGACTCCTCTGTCCGACGATGATGCTGCACCGGAATCTGCAGTTGACGAGCATGTTGGGGCAGGACGAGGAGAGTCTGAAGAGGTGCAAGGGGAGTCGGTGGAGGAGAGCTCGAGCAAGGATACAGCTGTGACTGAGGGACTTCGTGCTGGGGAGGTGGGCGCGCTCAAGAGAAACCTCGAGGATGACAAGGATGTTGACGAGCAGGCGATGCCGAAGAAGATCAAGACGGAGGCAGCGCCCAGCTCTGCTCCCAGCTTGAAACTCGATCTGGACGACGAGGACGAGGAGGATGACTTGGACTTGGAGGAATTGAAGCGGCTGGAGGCTTCAGCGCTGGCAAACTTGCAGCAGCGTGATGACAAGCCAGCCGAAGGGTCAAAGACTCAGGAGATCGGAAAGACGCCAGCCAAAGCGCCTCCTGCTCACTGGATGCAAGCAAGTTTGATGGACGAGGACGAGGACGAGCTTGATGTATCGGACTTAGCTCTACTCGAGCAAGAAGCAATCCGTAATTTGCAGTACTCTAGCTAACACATAGATGTTGATACAAAGCTTTATCTCAAAAGGACCCTGCATTCTTTCACTTTAAAAGAGGTAGACTCCACCATACATCAAATCGAATTCAAGATTACAAGTGAAGGAGATGGAAACCGATG